CCCTCTCTCTCTCTGCCCCTGCCCCACTCATGCTCTGTCTCTCTGAATCCCAAAAATGAATAAACCTTTTTTAAAAATTTTGTGAAATTGGCCCAAAGCAAAATAAAGAAGTTCTCCACAGCCCCTGACACAACTCTTCCCAGGATACCCGTTCTTGGTGCCCATCGCCAAACCTCACTCGCTGATTCTTTACCCCAGCCTACCACAATCAACCAGGCCCTTCTGTGTGTGCGTCTCTCCCCCACCCCCTCACCCCATCCCCATGCTTACCAAAGGATCTACAATCAAGACCAGTTAACCTGATAAACCAATTAAAGTCAAGGTAACGATGACAACAGCTAATAGTCACCAAGGGCTTACCCTGCGCCCCTGATGCGGTAAGCGCTCGATTTGCGTTACCTCATTTACCTGTATCGTCCCGTTGAGTGAACCAGCTCAGCAAAGGTTCCTGAGGCACAGTGCTAATAACTGAGCACACGCCAGACCCCGTATTGAGTATTACATACGCCTCCACGAGCCTCGCAGGAAGGCTAAGAGCTGCCGCGAGCCCCCGCCCCTGCTGCAGGGAGGAGACCGTGGCGTGGAGGAAGCCCCCCGAAACCACACTGGCTGGAAGGCAGGAGGCCGATTTTGAACTCAACTCTGACTCTGTATCCCGCTCTCTATAAGCATATAGTACACTCCACCCAAATATGAGATGAGTTAGTTTGTTTTGCTGAACTGTTATTCTAAAGCTTGGAAGAGGCAATGGTCATGGGACAGAGGCCAGGTACGACTCTCAGTCCTCTGACCGCTGAAGCATGTGGCCCTGGCTTCCACGCACAGCGGGCCCCCGCCCGGGCTCGGTCAAGACCAGAGGCCGTGGAGCTCGACAGACCTGGGTGGTGGGTGGCCCGGAGAGCATTGCTGTCCTTGTTCATGCGGTCCATGACGGATTTCCAGGTGCTGTTGATCTGGTCAAACAGGGCTGATTCACTGGGCAGCTGCTTACGGATGTCCTCTCCCAGGAAGATATTCTGAGGGGCCAAGGACTGCGGTGAGAGGCTGTGTCTCCCACACTCCCTGCTCCCAGACCAGGAGTGACAGTGGGAGGAAGAGAAGGATCCAAAGGGCAAGACGCCCTAAGTTGTGGAAGGCAAGTTGGGGTTGGGAGGCCAGATACTTGGTCCAAGAAGAAAAACGAAAAGAGAGCAAAGGCTTTTCAGGGAGGGAACTGAAGGCAAAAGGCAATCACTGAGAGTCAGATGCTCAGGGCCGAGATGGAAGAATGACTTTACAATAAATAAATAAACTTTTAAAAAAAGATATGGCACCTGGGTGTCTAAGTCGGGTAAGTGTCCAACTCTTTTTTAAAAAATTTTTTTAGGGGCGCCTGGGTGGCTCAGTCGGTTA